CCTCACAAATCAAACCTGCATTAGTTCTGCACAAGGAAGCTGCTTTCAAGCCTCCTTTTATTCTGTAGCACCATATAATGAAAACTACAAGATCATATTTTACTGCTGCACAGTTCACTATCCGGCATCAGGAAGAACATTTAGCTATAACTAACATGAGGCTTAGCCATTAGCACCACTGGCTGGGAAGAGAAGCAATAAACTCCTGCTGGTCTTAGCCATTTATTTCTGTATAAAGCAGTCTGCAAGGTCTTTCCCCTTCATTCCTACCATACAATATATGTAATTTATGTAAAAATCATTCCTATATTTTCATGCAATTAGGATTTCAGTTTATACTGCATATACTAAGGATTTTACTTAATAAAATAGAAATTAGTAAATTACTTAGTAAATAAGAAATGGATCTCCCCAAGTGAAGAAGGTCTTATAATTCAATAATAATAATAATTTGGTCTCTTTCAAAACCTACTGCCTACTGAGCTTCACAGAAAGGAGGGGGGGAAAAAGGTCAAAGAAAAAAAAAAAAGAGAAAATTCCAAGTCTTTGCTTTGAAAATGCTGCCAATGTTCTCCTTTTAAAGGGTGCCCCCTCCTGTTGGAAAACAATGTGGGACTTCCCCGTCTGAGCCACTACTCAGACCCAGTAGCAATAAACGGTCCCTCCCTTGTGACTTCTACTTTAACCAGACAGTTTTGAACAACTTAAACCGATTTCAACCACAGACCTGTCACAACATATAGTTCAATTAGTTCTAAGATGACCACCACCAAAGGCGGCTTGAGAGTGATAAGAGGCAGGTTTGGGGCTTGTGAGCACTCCAAGTTGGGGACATCACGGCCATCCTCAGCCCAGCAAGGGCCATGGCAAGGCTGGCATCTTCTGTCAGAGTTGTTTAGATAAGAAGCTCAGTTCACTAATCAGGAGGTGCAAAACACCAAAAAGGCGGCAGCTTTTTGCCTATTGATATCTAAACTCTTCACCTACACATGACCCTGGGCTTGCTGGAAAATTATCCTCTATTTCATTTTGCAATTACTGACAATTTACAATAGTGCAGAAATTTAAAAACAGGCAATTCCAAATTATTGCTGGAACCTGAATAAACAGTGAAGTAGCGTATCTCAAGTCCAGAGTGTGTCTTCCAGATTGCAGCAGGTACTACAATACACGCACATTCAGCTGAAGCAGTCATTTCTGTATATGTTCTATTAATAAAAAGCATTTTCTATAGTAGAGTCTGTTCTTCATCTTTAAGATGTATAGGAATCAAAGTTTTGACTTTCTTTAAAATATCTCACAGGACTCTGCTGTTTCTAAGCACATGACTTGGGTAGAAGAGGTTATTTTTTTTACATTAAAAAAAATAATAGGTTCATAGCTGTTTGCTTAAAAGCCCCAGAATTTCTGTTCCTTGGAATAAAGACTTGATAAAAAAAATAGTCAAGATCACACTTTTTCATTGTTATTGTTCCCATTAAAATGTTCCCAAATCCCATTTTAAGGTATGCCTTTCAGAGAAACACTTGATAATGCCTCAGGGCTCAAATCTGTGGAGATTCAGTCTGCGAGGTGCATGCTCCCTCATAGCACATGTCCCAGCAGAGAAAAGAATAAACAACTAAAACATACCAGAATTAAAGTTCTGGAGGGCTGAAAAACAAGATAATCTCAGAGAGGAGTTGTAGCAAAGCATGAGCCTGCAGCCAAAGGATATGGGGAAAATCTGATATTTGGTGAGGAGCTGAACTGGAAGCAGGGATGAGGCTGAACTGGCAGACAAGGCAATGGATACCGGCTGGGAAAACAGATCTGACAGACCATGGGAGCACACAAAGGCATTACTAGGTGGGAGAGAGGAAAAAACAGCAGTAGGAGGAAGTGAAGAGGTGGGGAGGCCAGGAAGAACCATACAGACCTGGAATTGACTAGACAAGATTTAGTGATACTGTGTTTTAAACAGGGAGACCCAAGGAAACATTAGACGAAGAACAAGCTGGTGACATCTCCCTGACATTTCACCCATCACCCAGAAGCAGAAAGACACTTACTGGAATATTTACAGATGGCCCAGAGGAACCATCCTCAACTACAGCTACACTAAATACTCCAAAGACATAGTAGCTCCATCTGGCTCAACATGAAGGAGCACAAAATATAAATTGATATGCAACAAGCCACAAGAGGACATTACAATGAGTGCACCCATTCAGCATCTGAACCACTTCAAAAATCTGGCAAATAACCTAACTCTTAACCAGTGCACAGCTATTCATCACTGTGACTAAGAGTGCAAAATACAACCAGTGGCTGCCAAACCTGGCAATAACTGGGTAAAAATGTTCTAAAAATGCAAGTCTTTGGGAAGAAAATTCTATTACTTAGTGCTGCTGATTATTAACGAGCGGCTCTGAACTCCCAAAACAAATGTATTTTCACACAGATCTCACAAATAGCAGTCTTTAAATATTGTGCATGCCTGCACTTTTTATGAAGGATAAAAAAACATGCAAAGAAAAGGATTTTGTGGAGCTCAGTCTCTTTGGAATAGCCCCAAGGAAAGATACAGTATTGCCTTCAATCAAAAAAAGGTGCTTTCTATATCTTTCAATGGACTTTAAAATTAAATCGAGTTGCATCCTAAAATCTTTGTATTTAAATTTGTATTTAATAACTGGATGAGACAAATAAACAAAAATATTAGGACATCTTGATCACAGCTGCTCTGCAACTTATGCTCTAGGGTGAAATACATTCCTTCGAATTACTTTGGTATTGATCACATTCCATACCTATGATGTTCTAACTTGAAAGGTAGCACGGTTCCAAACCCAAGCAAACCATTCCAGATGATATCCAGTCGCCTTAATGACCTGACTAGAACAGATAAGAAAAGCAGGGTCCAGTAATTATTTGTAATTTATTAAATGAAACAGCTATAATGCCTTCAGCATGTAGCCTGGGTAAAAAGGGAAAGAAAAATCAAAAATTAAAGTTGGGGAAAAGATCCCAATTCTGATGCACTGGATGTTTATTTCTTAGCTACTTATCATTAAGTATTATGTCAAAATATCTGCCTATTCTTGCATCTAAGGTGCAAAATACTTCATGATGGTCATTAACAATAACCAACATAACACTGTTTGTTCACTAGTTATAAGAACTAAAATACACCCTTTGAAAAGCACATTCAAAGTTGACCAAGTTAAAAAGCATAAGTCATTCCTCTCCATTCATAGTTCATATAACATAATTCATGTTATGTTGTGTATTACTATCTCTCAAAGAATTCCCGAACCAGAAAGGCCTTGAGAACTAAGATACAGACTGTACCAGAGATAACAGAGGTCATCTGCCAAATGACAAATGAAATCTCACTGTTCGGACTTGGGATATGGGTTTCTGTAACCAAGGTAATTTGTATCAGCAATTTTCATTATTTGTGAAGACAACTAGTCCCTTTAATCTAAAGTTCTAGGCCAGCACATCTCTCATATCTGACCAAATAACTTGACATTATGTTCTCCGTCTCTCCTTCAGAAACATTACATTTGAGCTCTCAGGAATCTCCTAGATTCAGTTTGTCCTATGTTGAGGCTACTTCAGGTTCATTCAAAACCTTATTTCCTTAGGCTGCTACAGGCACAGCTCCTGCCTGCAATCAGAGCGAAGCAAATACTTCTTCAGGGCCTGCCAGAATAGTGTAACCTACTTCCTGTAGCAGTTTCTCTGAAGCGCAGGCATCCATCCTAGCTGCCTCAATTAAACTAAACTTGATTTTTGTTCAGAAATTGCAGTGCCCAAAATTAGAACACGCAAGACGCTGCCTATGGACAGACTTCTGTGCCCAAACAAAGCGTCACTCTTTAATAGGCCTCCACAGGCAAGAAGCCACAATTAAAAGTCAAAAAGCAGTTGAATGCCATAGTGAGCAATGAATGGTGCAGGTGCTGTGCAAAAGCACAGAATTGCAGAGTGTAAACACTGCTGTTTTCTGAAAAGTTGCATTTTCAGAATGCACATAGACAAGAATGTTTGACTGCAGTACAGTCAACAACATTACAGAATGGTTTTTAAATATCTGTATTTGGTCCTAGCAAAACCGCAATCGAAGCTTATCAAAGAAACAACCAGACTATTTCCTACCTTAATGTTTCCTTAAGGCAAAAAAGACAAACACACTTGACAAACTGCAATAGTGAGATCATGTACATGAACAAATGTGAAAGAAATTTTGGTCACTAACGATGAAACAAACAAGGTACAAAACAAAAGACAAAAAAGGTTTCTCAGCAAGCCTAGAATATAATTGCCTTTCTGTCCTTCAGATACACAAGCATGATGAACTGTCCCAACACACTAAACAGTTATCTGGTTCCCATTAAAGGCTTCCAGTGCTCAATAACTAAAAGTCGAAAGCCATTTATTCTTTAGAAATACAGAAACATGAGTCTGGTTTGTAGTTAGAGTTTTTAAAAAAGTTTACAAGTATCTGTAGCTTCCCTATTTTTTTTAAGCTGTAAATTTTACATGCACAGTTCCATTAATATTAGTGCTTGATTATTTTTAGCACTGGATTTTTCATATTTAATATTACATGTATGCAGGCTTTTATATTATCATCTCTACCTCCTTATCATTCTTCCCACCATTTCCAAACCATCAACAACTTTTCTCCCTTTTGAGTCAATCTGTGCAAAGTAACATAAGTTTTCCATGAACAAAACTCTACAAGATAATTTTAAAAGAGTAGAGAAAGCCCACTAGGATGATACCAGATTGGCAACAATCTGGTATCATTTAAAACTAGCAAAGTAGAACTGTCTGAAGACAATCTAAATCATTTATCCTACACTAGCTGTTTTCTATCATAAAAATATTTTTTAAAATGTTTTTGTAACATAAAAATAACACATTTCTATATAACCACAGATCTTTCACAGTAAGATAACTGAAGTAATATCGGTAACAGTGAACACAAGTTACTAAAATTAAAATACCTGTGATTGAACAGTACACTATGTGAGGAGCAATCTTTTTAATGTCTTCATAACCTAGACCCATTTCAGCCAGTTTCCCAGGGATGTAGTTTTCCACAAAAACATCACAGACAGCTGCAAGCTTTAAAAAAGAAAAGAATGTAACAAAGTAAGGTTGGTTAATATGATTCCTATAGTTCAACAGATTCCTCACGAAACTTAAAATTGCTCTAATCAAGATTGTTCCTATTTTTCTGGGAGAAAAACAAAATCAGAAACGTAGACAGATTGATTAGGTATGCTAGATTGTATATCTCTGCTAACTACGCATTAGAGGTACAGTGTTCCGAGAAAACACTCTTTGAAACCATTAGATAAAACTGCAACATAATTATCAGTGTTAAATCAATTTCTAAAGATCTAACCACAATTTACAGAACAGGCTGCAATTCTAAATACACGCTTCACTTGTGCAAAATAACTTGAGGGAAAAAATGGGTAGAAGAAAGTACCTTGATCACTCTTTGCCTTAGAAATAATTTCTAAAATGTGCTTATATTAAAACTAGTGATTATACTTACTGTAATAGAGGCTATATTTCCCCCTTGCTGTAAAGGAGGGCAAAACAGCCAGCACAGCAATTTGATTAGTTTCCAAAGAACATGTCAGTCACATCAATCGGAGCAGCACTGCCAGGTACTGAAGCCTGACTTTCTGCATCACAACCGAATGGATGACCTACTTCAAAACCCACTGAATTTACAGATTAATTTATAACTTTGATGAGCATTGAACCATAATTCCCTAGATGAAGTTATGGATATACAAAATATGATTTTTCATAAGACAAATTAATTAAGAATTTGAGGCAAAAGAACTACATGTGAAAAAAAGTTTAGGGCTTGTGGAATATAGAGGGTTTTGGATCAGGCGTTTTTTGAGGAATTTAACAAACATTTCCCTTACAGGTACATGTGGATGTACGCACATGAATTAAGCATAACCTTAAAAAATGAAAGGTTTTAGATTATTTGAAGCTGACCAAAGAGTTGTATTTTCTGAAACAATTATGTAACTAGAGGAACATAAACATTATATTGGGACTGCTTCTATAGACTAGTGTCTCATATCAGCAATCAAAACATTATTTTCCTAGTATTTACGCTGTTTAGGTGAATATAAAGCCAAAGAAACAGCCAGGCCAGCAAATAAAAAATAAAAGTTAACAAGAAAGTCTCAAACTTACTGAGGCAATAAGGTATGTACATTATGAATGGTTTCATTGGATGTATGGAAGAAACATTAACAGCATTTACAGAAACTAAGTTCAACATAAGGTTAAAAATTCATTTTAATCTATGTTGTGAATTATTCTTAAAGGAACCATATCAAGAATCTCTAGATCTACTAATTTTAAATAGCTACAGTAATATGAGCAGTGCCCAGCTTCTAAATAAGCAGTATGGACAGCTCAACAGTTTTCAGTTTATAACCCCATATAAATGAACAGAACATTATTTTATGGAATCTATTAAAAACCAGGCCTTTGTCACAATAAAGTTCTCAAGATGATTAAGGTTTCCACAGAGCTAATGCTAATGTCAGCATTAGCTAGTTAAAAACAAAGAAAAAGCTCACAAATTGGTCCATGATAGGAAGTAGGATACAATTTCTGTGCTTTTTTTCACTGGGGTTTGTAGTCCATCCAATCTGCAATGAGGGTATGGACTAAAATGCTTTGAAAATCATTAGCTCTTTGGTATATGGTATTGAATGTAGATAACATCTGAAAGTCACTGAGTAGAAACAGACACTTCATGTAACGCGGGGGGAAGAAGAAAAAAATAAAAATCAAATTAAAAAGCCATATCTCTGGACAAGGCAACACACAGTACTAAGTAAAAGGATACAGTGGCCCAACATCGCAGAGTTCGTATTCCCACACAGTGAAATGAATTCAAACACTGAAGACAGAGTGCTGTGCCACATCTGCTACTTAAATTCTCCTAAGGGCTGGAAATAGGCTTTGATGCATAGCAGCTGCGGCCCATGCACTTCAACTGGACTTGCTTTGAGATGCTCACTAACGCAAATATTAGGTACCCAAAGGCTGAGCTGGTTGAGAATTGGATGCCAAGACCTTGATCCTAAACAACTGCCTGTTTTTAAGTCCACCACCAACTGAAATTTCACACTCTGTGCCCTGCAAGCTCTCTGACTCTATCCCTCTCTTATTTTAGTCTTCAGCACGAGCAATACAAACCAGGCCTGAGCTAAAAGAATACATGTCACAACACACATCTGCTCAACTTCCATGCATCAGGAAAGAAAAAGGCATCACGTACGCCAAAGCAGTCATGTTACCTTCAATATCAACATGGGACAATGCTACAACAACTCAATATAGGAAATTATTTATTCCTTTCAGAAGTTTTACAAAAACTGCATACACGCACAGTCCTTACAGGAAGGCAGACTGAATCCGTTAGTGAAGGGGGAAAAAAGAGGGTAGAAGCTTTGCATCCAGTTAAGAAGCTTTGCATCCAGTTAAGTCCTCCCACATCTCTCACCCTTAACTACAAAAATGAATTAGTTAAGACTAAATGCTCAATGCTCAAAAGATCCTGAAAGTTCTGAGAGGAAAAAAAAAAAAAAAAGGGGGTTTCTGAAAGTAACTTTGCTGAATAACAGTCTAAAAAGATGAAAATATATGTCTCAAAAGCTGTATTAGCACAAAAGGATGTCAGAACATGGGATTGGTACACATGCCATCATTGAAAAATGGAAAAAATACCAAAAATATAAAAGAAAAAAGGCTTTATTTCATTGAGAAATTCTAGTATTTGAAAGGCAGTTAACATTAATAACAATAAGAAAACATTAGGAAGGGAAACAAGGCCAGAATGACCAGAACAAAGAATAAATTCGTGGGAACTAAAATATAAAAATAAAATAATGTGTTGTTAAATAGTAGACTTTGGGAGAAGAAATTTAGTGCTGTGCCAAAGGAAGAAAAGCATCCTGTTTCACTGAAGAACAGATTTCTTCAGTTTACTCAGTACCACTGATTGTATTTGTCAATTGCTGTGCTTTTTTCATCTACCTCAACACTTTAGTCCTTTGTTTTATTTGTATATTTCTAAAAATGTATAAGGATTATTCTAGGACTTCACAGATGGAGGGGTAGGGGGCGCAGCCTGAAGAACAATAATTTATTCTAACTATGCCATCTTTCTTAAGAAAGGTATTTCTTGTAGCCTTATTATTTTTCTTTCTAAGGCTTAGGCTCAAGGCAGTAATGCATACTTACAAATAATCAGTGTCTCAAAACTCGCATTCCTTTGTTACGAATTGCCTTACAGATACTAACACACTTTTTCAACAGAGCAGACATCTGAACATGTCTGTCCTGATGTTACCAGAAGACAATTGCTAGTGAAAAGCCTCTTCTGGCAGGTAGTGTCACTGCATCCTTTGCTCCAAAACCTGTTTCTGGTTCCACATCAGATTCAAATAATTTTATGACTTCTGCCCCAAATACTTCAGACAACTACCACTAAGTCAAGACACCACAAGCAGAATCATTTAATACTGCAGTAATGGCTGATAACATTAGCCCATTTATAATGTGGCTGTACCACAGAGATGGGCACCATTGACTTAAGGAACTGAGAGTGGTAGTGGTTTTGAAAGCAGTTTTCATAAAAGGATAGAAACCATAAGAAAACCAACTCAGCAACAAGAGCATTTTGCTCTTCGTACGTAGCTCAATTTTGTGAATCTTGCAATTGGTTTCTAACTCCTCAGAAGTTAGGTTTCTTGTCACGGCTTTATCTTTACCAGTGAAAGAGTTTTGTAGCAGCAGAATATCTTCACTTCCACAGCTAGCACAGAAAATATTTAACACAGATAGTTTTTCTATTGGAAATTCTCTAACATCACATCTTAGCAAGTCATTTCCGTATACAGTTGACTACTTCAGTGACACCCAACTAAGATGGATATTAGTACTGCTACTTGCAGGAACCACCTGCAGCATGACATTAGCTCTACATGAGAGTGACAGCAGAGAGACCTTACCAGGCAGAGAAGGCTGGGAAACCCTGCACTGCTGGAGTCAGAGGATGAAGCTCTTGCATGAGCAATGAGGAACAGGAAAGTTGCTACCTCAGTTTACAGACCATGTGGTATTTGAACTCAATCTGGTACTTGAACATCAAGCATGCAGTTCATAATACCAAAAGTTCTCAAATTGGCATTCAACTCTGCAAATCATGAAAGTGTTTTTCACCTTGCAGGCAGAAAGAAGTTGCAAGTTTAAGAAAGATTTTTAAAATCATTGTAAATATAGATATATATCAAGAAGCAATCTTCCTGTACAGCAAAAGGAGAGAAGGGCATTTCCTAACCACAAACACTAGCAGTCACATAGAAGGAACTAAAGCTCAAGCTCTCTTTGCCTCCAGCTCTTCCTGTCTCACAGCCTCAGCTGCCTTCATTTCTCCATGAAGCAGGACCAGCCCACACACATGGGACCAGCAGACATTGTTAGATAGTCCCTTTCTATCCCTGCTTTTGGAAGTCAAATAATAAGTAACAAAGCTTGAGAATCATCTCTTAAATAAAGGACTTTAAGATGATTTTGTCCAAAATACACCTGGGGACACCAAGCAAAACATTTCTTACTATGTCTGTTCACTATACTTTCAGAAGAAAAACATACAGCTTCATAGCAGTTAACTGTGAGTGGTTCTCTTCTACACAGGGACTGGGGAGGGAGCACTGGAGAATCCTCAGCTTATCTCCTCTAAATTTCCAGATGAAGTGTTTCATTTTCACTAGACTGACAAAAGAAGATCATAAAAAAATCAGACTAATTAATCAAAAAGTAACCTATTGCGGTTTTAGATAATATTTTTAGCAAAAAATACTACCAGACAAATTCCAGTAATTGCAGGATATATGTGGTTTCACTGTGAAAAGAAGTGATTTGATCTGACATTGAAACATTAGCAGAAGTCAGCTCACCCTTTTGGATGTATTAGTACTGCAGGGCTAAAAACCTTGGTAGCAGCAAGTACAAAGTATATCCTTCTCAGTAAATAAAAAAGGCTAACAAAGCACAAGTTTTACAGATTGTTGAAGATGATAGTTTTTTTTTCCCCCCAATGGAAAAGATATCACTCAAATTCTGAAATATAAATACAAAATTCCACCTACAGGACAGCAACCGAAGTCATGAATACACTGTAACAGTTGACCTTGAAAATATTGGAGCCCAGACCTCCTTTTTGTACTGACTTCCTTAGGAAAAGAAAAAAGATTCAAACTGTGCTGATCAAACTGTACAGGACAATCAAATACAACAATAAAAATCACAAGGAGATGATCTGTGACTTCTAGCACAGTAAAATACAAGCCTCGAGTTATCTACTTCTCTCTCAATGTTTCATTTGAAACATTATAAATAAAAGTATAATTAGAGATTGAAATTGTCTCATATAATAATATTTTAGAATTATTTTAGATAGTATGAAAATTGCATTAATTCACCTCTAACCTCGAATCTCTGGGCACAAAGCATGGAAATAATGATTTACAATTTAACAATTAACCACAATATTTTTTTTCATTATCAGATATCAAATTAATCTATGAAATTCAGAGTTTTATTACTACTCAGATTCAAAACAGTACAAAACAGACATATTTTGAGTTCTGTTAGAACCTACCTCTCTGATTAACTTAGCTCCCTTTGGGTCCTTCATATTGACAGCTATACTCTAGGAACAAGAAAAACACACACCATCATTTCTATCAACTGCCTTCTAGTCCTTGTCATCAACTTCTAAATATAACCAAAACTAAAATTTCACACTACAGTTGCAAGTTACCGCTCTCCCCTACTCCAGTTGCCAGGTGAAGCAGGTCAGCTGATCTCATCCATCTAAAAATATTGATTGAGAAGAGAGAAGAAATGAGGAAAAAAAAAAAAAAAACACCACACACACCTCTTTCAGCAGTGTTTAATTTCAGTTGATTTCTCTCACATCAGCTGAGGAGGGAAAAGAGAAAATACTAGAGACACAGTAACTGAGGACAGGCAGTACCACTCTTGATTTTGCTTTGGCCTCAGCTGACCACAGAACTGTATCACAGGGTTTCAGACTTTTTTTGTTCCAAATACTCATCTTGTTTTTCATTTATTTGTTGTTTCTTTTATTTTGTTTTTGAGGGGGGGGAGTGGTTTCTTGAAATGTGTAATGTAACTTCATGCCAATGTCAATACTGCAAAACATCTCAATAGAAAATGAATTGGAAGCTTGCCCTGTTAAGCATTTTTATTTGATTTCTTGCTACTCATGTCCAATTAGTCTCAAGTCATGTAAATTTGTCAGCGATTACACACACTCTATATAGTAGAGCACCTCATACCGGCAAAGTTAAAAAAAAAAATAATAATAATAATAATTTGAAAGGAAAACACCATGTCTGTAGTTGTAAAGACAGAAAACACTGGCCAGTGTTCAATGTGGCACTTTCATTTACCTTTTTATTTCGATTAACACTGAGATAATAAACACTTTCTGTTCCAGCAAAAGGTGGGCCCCAGGCTCTAGTATCATCACCAACTCCTGAAAGAAATAACACAACATTTGCAGTTGTCCAATATTAAACAGGCAAAAAAGAAAAATGAATACAAAGGTTGTTTGTTTCTTTCTACCCCTAGGTCATATTTAAATCTCCTAAGGTTCTCCTAATGATGGCAAGCAAAAAATACTTTTTGAAATATATCTGGGGAGGTGTATGTCAAAAAAAAAAAAAAAAAGCCTAAAAGCTGATTATACAAAGCAGATGTGGTTTTTGCTAGTGCTGTGATTATTTTAAAATACTTTGTTTTGCTACTGCTGTGATTATTAATTTAAAAATGTAAATATACAGCCAAATGCCACCAATCTGTTTTTTTTTTTTTGGCTTAATTTATTTTTAACTTAAAACAGTACTACACTGACATTCTTTCAGGCAGTCTGGAAAATTTTAACAGAAGCTCTTGTGCTGCACAGAGTCAATCAGCTGTTCCTGAAACACTGTGGGCAAGAAGTCAAGGTAATTAATGATCAGCAACAACTTGCGCACTCCAGAGCAGAGGCAAAAGGCAGCAGCACTTGCAGCAGCTGACACAGTCCCCCACCTCCTACCCCCTTCAGGAGTGCCCTTGCCCCACAGAAATATAAGATAGCATTAAAGCTCCTGCAGGCACTTGCTCATGTCACTGTATCATTTAAGCTTTGTTCCCAATTTTAAATGTTACAAAGCCTGCCATATATTTTATTTAGATTTAAAACTAATTTTTAATTCATTTCTATAATGTTGATTCTAAGCAGTAGCGGATATGGAACATATCTGTCTAGATTTTAACTACATTATCAAGTGCAAGTGTGTGAAAACTCCTTAGTTCCTTTTTTCCAAGCGAACCTTTAGTCCAATGCAACATAGCCACTGTTATATGATTAAACTGTACTCTGCGGTTACACTTGAAGTCATTTAAGCTCAGTTTCTGTAGAAGCCACACAAACATACAAATTACTGATGCTTCCCGGCATTTGTACTTTTTATCCTCTCAAAGAATTATACTGGTTTATGGGGAAGGCTGGGGCAGGGGGTAGAGTATCTTTTTCCTATCTTCACCTTTCAAGACATTCAACAAAACATAGACAAGACACTAATGCAGCCAGCACTCTTTACAGATGAAGTCTGTGAGTAAGCCTAGCTTTATAGACACTACTGCTGTGAAAACAGGTATCATCTCACAGAACAAGTAGATTATCCACAATCTATAAGTGTTTGAAATTAAGAATTCTCAGGCTGCTATTCTCCTTTAATGACAAAACAAAACACTAGAAAAGCTAGAAAGTGCATTCCTGAAGTTATCAGTCCATACTTGATCACAGACATTGTCCCTTTGCATAACTCCGACACCTGGATTAATAACTTTGTCAATCTCATCTCATGGTACAAAACTTTCTGCCCTGTCACAACATGCAAACATTTGACACAGAGGTGAATGATCAGTGGATGACCTGTTGGTTGATATGACCAAACATTTAAGAAGTTTTCAGTGAAGATATCTTTGCTATTTACAGTGTAGGAAATGTGTTTTAGTATCTCAAATGTGTAATTTATCTTCACTTGCTCTTTTAAAAAAATCTCTTTTCTAGCATTAATAGTTTTGAAGTGGAAACTTACACAAAGTGGGGAATAACACAGGACAAGCTACAGATGTATGGCATGTTACATGTTTCAGGCAAGCCAGATGAAGGCCTCACTCAGGAAAAACTGCAGAATTAGCCCTCCTTACGGTTATGTATTAGAGAAAGGACCAATACAGGGTTCTATAATCCTGTCAATTTACTACTGTGCCAAATGCCAACAGCAAAATTTATTTTCACACTCTTAATATGAAGACTAACTGCATCAATACATAGTTCTTAGCCATTAGAAAAAACATTTTGCGCACAAATAATTGTGCAAAACTAGTGTTATAGTTATTCATGCTCATAACAAGAATGAACAAGGCAAAAATCTAAGATTGTCCTCTTCACTATGACAGGTTCCACAAGCACAGTATCCTGTGCATTAATATTACCTGCATGTGGAAAGTCACTATTTCTGGGAGAAAAGACCCCCAAGCAACCAGTTGGAAGCCTTGTGTTTTGATAAGCAACAGATGTCCAATTAATATGGCAAAGGCATGAAATGGATTTAAGCAGGTTGAAAGTGCAGATGGATATCTTCTTTTTAAGGCTTAAAAGAATGGCAATTCTCATATAGCACCTACGGTCTCGGGAGAAGCAGAAGATAAGGTCACAAAATCCAACAGAGGTCTTTAATATGCTAATACCCTCACTAGCATGAGGGTTACTGCCTTCAAGTATATGAAAAAGGTACCTTGTAAAATGTAAAATGTCATGAAATATCAGTGATGACATCATTTCTGGTAATATTTTAACAGCAACACAATAATTGTGGATTTTAAATAAACCCACTCAGCATGAGGTAAGAGTATATAAACTCAGTTTATGATTTTATACTTTTTTAAAAAACAAACTGCAATATTATATAGTCATGTAGCACAAAGAAGAAATTGCAATCTTTAGGTGCTAATAAACGAGTGAGGTCCTCAACAAGGTGAAAAAAACTCAAAAAAAAAAGAAAAAGAAAAAAAAAAGGAAAAGTCACATACACATAAAACTACATATACCCTGGAAGTAAATTATTAGCTCTTTGAGCTAAAGACCTGCTCATCTTGACTGGAGTTGACTAATCCTTTGTCAAATCTTTCAAAAGCAACTGCTTCTAATTTTTTACTTTGCTGTATAAAATCAAACTTTTTATGTTCCACACACTTCATTTGAAAGCCCTGCTCTAATACTAGCACTGCATTATTAAGAAAGCCCCATGCACATTAACATTCACATGTCCAAATTAAAGCCTAAACAAAGTCCAAGCAATTTAAAAAAAACAACTTTTTTTCATTTTGAGTGATAGAACAAGGTACTTTAGGAACAGGTCATGACTCAGTACTCTTATTTCCACTTATAACTCAAAAAATGCCTTGATATTACAACTTCAAACTCTTCACATCCTTATTTTTGCTAAATATTAGGCTACTTCTTTAGAAGACACACCTACCCAGAGTACCATGTTAAACTTATTAAATCAACCAGATCATACATGTTTCAGCAAACTTACAAATAACTAGTTCTCTACCACATGAAGCAAAAAGGTTGATGATGTCAGCATGATTCAGATACACAAGCCATCGCCTCTCAATAATATCCAAATAGGTACAAAAGTAAATATTTCTAAACACAATGCCATATATTCGCACACCATCATCAAATAAACATAGTAGGCAATAGTCTTTCTAAATAGTTTGAAAGATGTTTGATCTTACATCCTCAGCCCATGCACATGGCCCAAGACACTATTGTAAATCCGAGAACCCCTCAAAATAAAAAAATCAACCATGAATAAAATATTTCAAAAATTCAGACCAAGCATTTGTTAAACTGGCCTTCTTTCTTAGCATGCCTAAAAAAGGGTGGGGAGAAAAGGGGAAGGGTGATGAAAGAAAAAAAAAAAGTCAGTCTTACCTGGTCTTTCCACTTTGATAACTTCAGCCCCTAGATCTCCTAAATTCATCGTGGCAAAAGGTCCTGCAAGCACCCTGTGATATTAAAAAAAAAAAGGGGGGGGGGCATTTTCTTCATTGCTTTATCCAAGTAATTGCATCTAGACAGACTGTTCTGAACAAACACAAACCTTGTTAGATCAAGAATTTTCACACCATCCAATGGCTTTACATTACTAGCACCTGGCAAGAAACAGAAAACAGTTAACTTAACCATTGCCTTCAATCCTCTAAGACATTTCTCACAGGCACTCTGAAGCACTGCTCTCGTGGCTTGCTCTCACCATCTCCCTTCCCCTCCCTGGAATGGTAAAACTTTCTCCAGAGGTATGCTTTGAGGATTAGAGAACATGAGTAACACCTTTCAAAGTTGGAAAACCTTAGGTCAACATTGTAGACCTTGCTCTAAACATCTAGCAATTTTACAATAAAGCTACTTTTAAAAAGAAGTTTAAATGTGCCTACTACATAAACTTACATTGTTTTCAAAGATTTACCTGAGCACAGCAAACAACATCAGAATGACCTACAAACTAAAAATAATGGCTAACAGTCCAACAGGAGGCACGTTATCCTCAGCAGCAAAGCAGTTTGACGTGTGCTGACCCATGCACTCTGTTTCTACATTTCCAAAATGACGTTTACAAGGCTGAAGGCAGAACCAAGGAAGTATTTGTTCTTGCTTTCAACAGCGAATGCACCTCCAGGGTAACTATGAGGAGGTCATAATCCCTTACTGCTTTCCCTCCCCTAACTCTCAAAGGCAGCAGCAGTGGCAGCAATAAACCTCACAGACAGAGCAAGCAATCTTGCAAGCTAGATCATAGGGTTTGTCAAAGGTTGGTGAACCCAAGTCAGCTGAGTCTTTAACTACACATTTCACATCCTCCTGGAGAACTCAGCCTGCCACATTTCTTAACACTGTCACACCCTGGTGAAGGTTTCAGCTACTGGAAAACACCAGTGCTTCGCAATGGGCTTACTCTTATGTTTAGGAAAAATATATAAACATCAAATCTACAGAAAAGCGCAGCTCTCTCTCAAACCATGTGCTAGTTAACAGAAAGACTTCAGCACCCTCCTCTGTTCTTGCCATGCTCTCTAGTTATCAGCCTCTTATTCAATGGATCAGTAGAGACCATATTCTCTTCAGGAGCTAGTATTTCACCTTGCTTACATTTCCCAGAAACACTACCTGTGCACCCCAGATTCTCCACCTGTAGCTAACTGTGCTTGGGAAATCAATAAAGACTTTTTCTCAAAGAAGCCTATAAAGTGGAGATTTTCCTGTAAATAAGCATTTGAGTAAACTAAGATTGATGAGTCCTTATTGTACTGTTCCCATTATGCTAACATCCAACAGCTCCCCATTGGGACTCTTGGGACTATTATACATGGAGCAAAACAGCAGAGAGTGAAAACATTTCAGAGAAAAATGGACTTTTTAATAGTGATAAATAATGCAGCTATCCACAAAGATAGATAAATGCAAGAAAGAGCTCAAAAGCTTGCTTGTAGAAGTTCAAGAATAGACCTCTCAGTCTCTTCAAGCTAGATTAATAGATATTCACAAAGAAAAAAGTTCTAAGACTTAAGTCGGCTTTCCAGGAGTAACTAGAGTGTGGCTAATCTGCTTTTATAAGTTAACAGAATCCAAAGTCTTCTGGCTATCAAACTACAGCAGTTCTGGTCCACTAATTGTGAGCACTGGAGTGCTCTCAACACACCACACAGAGAGAGGGGAGGAGAGAAAAAAAAAACACAGAAGGATGCCCTAACTTTCTTCTTTTATAGGATGGCCTCAGAGTGGGCACCCGTCCAGAGTTAATCATTCTTCTCTGAAGCATTTTTGTTGCTAGTCTGGCTCAGTGGAGTCAAAGTGCTCACAAATACAAACTTGTGTTTTCTCTCATCTCTTTTTTGTTTTAATTTTTTTAGTAACTTCATGATTGAAACAAAACTCACACTCTCATCTGTAACTGAATCATATTTACAAACTACTTATTCCTCTAATTCTTGTCTTTTTGCTGTAAACTGGAAACTCAAGTGTATCTTTTCTAAGCGTCTCTGCTGAAGAAAATAAACAGATCCAAATTATTCTCTCAAGAGGACTTAAACTTTTAGTTCATCTTACTGGGGTATCCCAAGGCTGGCCCATCTTTTAACAAGATGAACAAATAACCTTCCAAAAAGAAGTTTTCCTTTTTGCATGTTAATAACAGAAACAAACAATGGGAAAAGAACTGAATAGTTCTCCACATTCAGTACTCCACACAAATGCAAATTAATTGCAAATAAACATGTCCACTCCAACTACTAGCAACTCCAGAGGAAAAAACATTCTTTAAGTCTCTCCTTTGACGACACGACCAGCACTTTTTAGTTCAGACGCTCGGAAGAACGATGAAGCCCAGCACTAGTGCAGACAAGTTCACACCATCTGCTCGCATTAGGGATGCGTTCGTCATGTTCGCCTCGGGTGACGAAGATGCGGAGCTTCCTCCAACCCCAAGGCAATTGCTACCGGTTTTCTTCATTATTTGCCTATAGGTAAAATCTGAAAGCCAGATCTGCCATTCAGCCAACTGATGGAAACTATTTTTACTGCAGCTTTTGTTTTTCCTTGAAAAACTGTTTGAAGCCACAAGTCTTGTAATCTTAAAATAAATACATAGCTTTTTAAAAGGTCCAAAGCCGAACAGCAGGCACTTTCTTTTCCCTGCTCCCGGGAGCTCCCTGAGCAGCTGGCACGGACAGGCGCAGCCCGCGGTCCCGTTTCGGCTGCGCTGGGCGAAAGGCAGCGAGACGGCGGCCAGGG